GAAATAGGCAGGGCGGTGGTACCTAACCGTGCGGACTCACAAGAGGTCCTACCACCAGTAATTACGCAAATTATAATTTTGCGGGTTTGATTTTTATTACACGATGTTATTCCTTCACCGTGGAAGTCAATCGTGAACATTTGTCAAGTACCTAAGTATTTAATCAGAAAAATTGGTACCCGCCTGCGGGATTCGAACATCGGTGCATCGCTAGATACGAATGCACCGGACGTCTTATCCTTTGGGCCGTGACGACTACATTTATTTATTACTAGCGACCCGCCCTCGCTTCGCTTCGGAAACATTAAAACAAACATGAAACCAAAAAAATAAAATAGTTTTTTTTTTTAAAAAGTAGCCTATGTTCATCAGGGACAATGTCGGCTTCTAATGGAAAAAGAATTTTTCAAATCGGTCCAGTAGTTTCGGAGCCTATTCGAAACAAACAAACAAACAAATCTTTCCTCTTTATAATATTAGTATAGACATATAATAAGTACATTTATTGTTATGAAACTATGCTGGAAACTATATTTAAAGTACCTAACCAACTATATCATAATACATATTATAATAGCTATATAATAACACTTTACACCAATTGGACAAAACAAGACACACATATATCATTAACAAATAAACAAAGCCTTTTTTGAAATTTATATTTATTTATTATAATTTATTTTTATCCGATGACAAATTTACGATTACGATCATAGATTAGAAATATGCATACGGTTGTATTTGCGAATGTCATAGGGTTACATAATTACTGGTGGTAGGACCTCTTGTGAGTCCGCACGGGTAGGTACCACCGCCCCGCCTATTTTTGCCGTGAAGCAGTAATGCGTTTCGGTTTGAAGGGTGGGGCAGCCGTTGTAACTTTACTGAGAACTTAGAACTTATACCTCAAGGTGTGTGGCGCATTTACGTTGTAGATGTCTATGGGTTCCAGTAACCACTTAACACCAGGTGGGCTGTGAGCTCGTCCACACACCTAGGCAATAAAAAATAAAAATAAAAACGCATCTTTTTTACTACCTTTGCATTGGCAGATAAGCACGTAGTCAACCTCATGAGAAATGGCCACCGGCGCCTCTAAATGTCGGCTAAGCTAGTCATGTCGCTGCCGCTATCGCTACGGATGCACAAGTAGCTCATCAGTTCGAAAGTTGAAACTTTAACATGTCGTTAACAACTGCAATAAATAGGCTATTAGACTATCGCTATGAGTCTTTTAATATCTTTTTATTTGCTCATAGTGCAGTAGATAGTTTGATTTGATAATGTGGATTATCTTGAAGTCATATTCTTGTAAGGAAATCGAAATAATAATTTTAGACGTTGGTAAATTTTATGTCTCACTTAAACTAGACTTGGCTGGATCTCAATTAGTGATGAAGTATTGATAGCTACGAATGTACATTGCTCTCTATGATAAATATAGTCGTCGAACCTCTATGAAATGATTGCTCTAATAACTTCGTTTGCTTCATTACGAAATTGTTAGAAAGTCAATTTTCATAACTTTAAATGGTAGGTAAGAATAAATAGTCGGTAGTTTTGTTTATAGCATTTTGATAGCGTATTTCCATTATACAAAAATTATACAAAAATGGTACTAATAATTGGTCTTTGTATATATCATAGAAGATAGAAAACTTTGAATCGCACTAACAACCATTTCAAGGTACCTTTACCTAGTATATTGTACAAATTCCCAGTAACCTTCGGATCGTCGGTCTACAAAGCATTTCGATCTATTCTGTATGTTGTGTGAAGCCCCACGGCTAGACATCCCGCCAATTTCACCAGTCAAGTAGCTATGCGTTATATCTTAAAGGATGTGATATGATAGCTGTTATACAATTGAGACTAAGATCTCACGACTCAAGCTGAGCTTTGATATCTATAGGCTCCGGTAATTTGAACGCATGACTCACTCGTGATGGTACTCAAACTACCCCTAGGTAGTTAACCTAGGGATAGTTTGCCTAAGCTTCTTTGCTATTACTATACTACTGTTCGATACTAATCCTAAAATTGTGCTCCAAAAAAATTAAACTTTGAAAACCTTCTATAATACAATGTAAAATATGTTACCGGATATGTTTTGTATTTTGTCTGCATTTGACCTTTAACCGATTGTTATGTTTTGGAACGCGTTGTTTCGGGTTCGAATTCACTCACATGAGAAAATCCTTGGTCCTTATCTCGCGTTGTATCGAAATGTCGCCTATTATCTCTGTTTCGGGCACTTTCGGTGCTTGTTGGGCGCCGACAGTGAGACGTGTACGTTCCTACCATGATGGATGCGTTTGCACCGAACATGTGAGGTCTTGTGAAAGTCCGCTCGGTTGATTACCACAGCGATTCGATTGCCATTCCTACCTCTTAATTAAGATAACAAACTTAACATTACACGAAACGTTGTGAGTTTATTCGTTTTTCAATGTTTTACTGTATACATAATCTACCGTCTATGTAAATAATTTACTGGTGGTTAGAGCCTCTTTGTGAGTCCGCACGGGTAGGTACCACCACCCTGCCTATTCCTCCCGTGAAGCAGTGATGCGTTTCGGTTTGAAGGGTGGGGCAGCCGTTGTAACTATACTGAGACCTTAGAACTTATACCTCAAGGTGGGTGGCGTATTTACGTTGTAGATGTCTATGGGCTCCAGTGATCACTTAACAACAGGTAGGCTATGAGCTCGTCCAACCATCTAAGCAATAAAAAAAAATTGTAGTAAAATTACTGTTAGAAAAATGAAATGTGCAACTTCCGTTCAAATATGTAAGCAATAATAATAATAATTGCGGACTTACTTCTTGTTAGTTAGATAAATTTTCCAGTAGCGCCGTACAGCAGAGCTCGTCGGCCGATCTCTGAGCTGCATGAAAAATACCCGGATTATAACTCGGGAGCGATCCCGGCCGCAGATAACAGCCGCTAGATATAAATTATACCACAAACGCAAGACGCAACTAATATTAAATAAGAAAGCATGTAATTCACGGTGCCTCGATGTGCCGCGCCGAGGCCATAAAGTACACAATTTTGACAGATTTTAAATAATGACATCCGTGTTCAGGAGAGAACCTAGAAAGTTCCGTTTGAGTTGTCGAGATCCGCAGAGAAAAACAAAAAAAAGAAAAAGAATTCACATAATAATCTCGTATTTAATTTAACAGTTTGTCGATGTTTCGAATGATTTATTGTTTTATTTTATTTTATTGTACGAATATTATCACGAAACTTTAAAATAATTTGTTCTATTCAAGCATGTACATGTGTACATATGTTAATAATAAACAATTTCGCACATACTATTATGCTTAAATTTTTCATGTTGTATTATTATCAAAAGCAATAAAAGTGAAGGCATGCTTTGATGTTACGCAATGTTTGTTTTTGGATTCTAAGATCTGGCAGTCGTATTGAAGTATCATAACATAAATCTTAAATGGTTTGATGAGACGGCCGGCAATAAATCAATTAAGAGCTAAAAACAATATTCAGCGCGTTAAAAAAATCACCGCATCCTTGTTGGCGATAATTGTTTTATGTCTAGCAGTTTTTCTGCAGACTTAAACACAGAAAAGTCCGGTTACACTCCCAATAGTGAAGTTCTCGCAAGCACCAACCTTGATGATCTTTCCTGTGTTTTCTTTGAGTCGTGACTTTATGCATAATTAAAGTGTTTACTCTTTGGCGCCACACGTCGTGACCGTTTTCATTTGTTAACGTTATTGGAGTGAAGAATAAAAATTCCTTAGAAACGCTTGTTAGCGTACTAGTTCTATTTGAACTTTAACACTATTTTAATTGCGGTTTCATGGTTAATTGAAAATTTGTTTTGACTTTACGATCAGAATTTTTATTGCTGTAATTGTCGTAATCATCTATCTGCCTGTTTTTTTTTTGTATACATTTTACATCGCATACACTGTTTAATGTTTTATTGTTTAAGCTATTGCTACTGTGCGAATATATGATTTTATTAGTAGACAGCACAAAATTAATCTGGACTCGTAGATAGAACAAATATGCAAAAAAAAAATGATTTGGAAATCATTTGTCTGAATTTGATTTTTTTTTATCACGTGCTTGATAGATTATAGGTAAGGCAACTGGAATTTTATAGTATTTACAACAACAGCCTACAAGCACTTCAGATTATCATAAATAATCGCTGATGATCCAATGAAATTTAAATTTCGTTTGAATAAAAAGGCGGTTGTGGCGCCAACGCCACGGTGACAGCCATCGCTCCAGGGGGACCCTGCACAATTAGCAGCCGTTGCGCCACTAAACGAATGCAGTTTTGCATAATAACAAGCTCCATAACGACGACATTTATGGTGCTGCTTCAACACATTTCCATATGAATAACGAAACTTTATTTCCTAAATATTTGTACACAAAATATTTGCAAGGAAATATGAATAGACCGAATTATTGGGCCACCCTTAAAAGTTATTTTAGAAAATATTCCAATACTTATAGGTGTGAGGGTTTGCCGAGGTCCCCTCGCAAGAGCAAATATTAGAAGGTATTCAGTTATGACGTAAACAAACATTTCACGAAATGGTTTGGACGGACGATCGCGTCGCGTCGGCAGAAACGCCTTGTAATTCTGTTACGCCCACAGATCATGCGGTTTTAGGTGTAAAAAAATCGATTAAAGTATGGCGACACGCTGCGTTCGATACATAATAATATTTCATCTCAGTCGGTGACGGGTGCCGTAGATTCTGTATTTTGTCAAATTCAATTAAATCTTTTATAGCTGTATAACTGTTGTTACGTATCATTTTACATTTCTTAAACGTCTATAATATGTAGATAGTTTATTGTGTTATACTGATATTAGTGATGTTACTGATAATAGATTTTCTACAATACATATATCCGAGAATCGTATAAAAAATAGTACCTACATATATTTTTTTAATTTTTAGTCTTTACGTGTTGCTTAAAGTAATGTTTTTTTTTTTAGATTTATGGATGCCGTCGATGATTTCCTGGGAAAAGACTCTGGTGAGTCAAATCTTTGTTTATACAAACTGTTAGAGCTCTTGATTACTTTTATGCCGTCGCTAACGACGGCGTGTGTGTGCCAACTCATATTGATTTTGCGGTTTTCTTTTCTTTATTACCTACAAAAGCAAAGAAAGGCTGTCGACTGCGATATGAGGTTGATAGGTGGTTAAACAATTAAAAAATATACGCGCATATCTTGAACTTTCCGCATCCTATCGAAGCTGCTTTTACGTGGATGTATGTAGGTTAAATTCACGTGTCCTCGGTAGTGTTGTTGTGTTTGAGACGTTTCGCGTGGGTGAAGATGTTGCGGTAAAGTGTTAATGCACTATTGCCTATTGCCTAATTGTATAGCTTTACGAGACCCACCATAAAGAGTATCGTTTTCGACGAGTCTTTATAGACACTAATCGTTATTCTATTGTGGATGACGTTCCTGATAATTATAACCATTTGTGTCGAACAACAATCTCAAATGTAACTACAAAGTTTTCTCAATCGTTTCCAATTCGAAATCGAAATCGGAAGTCTATCATTTTGCATAAAATGGTGATAAATCGTGTAAAGGCGAAAATATGTTTGTTTGGTTTGTTCCTTTTTCCTGAAACAAAGAATTCAGACGTCTTTTGCCAGACCATAATTTACGGGCTGGATTAACATTTCGGAAGGTTTTTTTTTTATATGGACAATGGATAAACTGATTCACTGTATTGTTCTGAGTTAATGGATCTCTAGTTGTATGGCATCATTAATGTTGTGCTTGCTGTCTATGGGTAAACCTCCTAATACCATCTGCCCATGTAAACTTTTTTTTTTATGATTTACACAAAATATTTTACAAGTGTCAATATTTACTATATTTATTATAATTTTATTTCAACGTCACAATAATTGCCGACGATAAACTATGTAATCAATACATCGAAATCAATAATTGACTACAATATGACAATTTAATTTTGATTGCATCTTAATTTGCATTTCGGTCCTCTTATGTCAGGACGTCAACAGAGTCGTATACGGTCTTATCAGTGACGTTCGACACAACATACGATTTCAATTAAAGACCGCTTCGATTTTAAATAGGAATGTGTTACATGTTCAAAAATTAGAGAGCCTGCACGATTTCCTCGTTACATTTGTTGTTGTCTCATTAGTATGGGATTTAAAACGAGAGAGAGGTCACGTTGAAATGGTTGATTAATACGTCATAGCAGTCAAAACTAGTAGGTTCGGTCCGCACGTCTAAGTTTATCGGCAGCCACGCTTTTAATTACAGTGACACAAATCGTGGTTATCGTTGGACTTCTCACGGTGCCGAAACTCAATATTCTGAATGTTCATTAAGTTCTAATTACGAATGGGCGCCCTTGTTTGTCTTGATCACCAAAACTAGCTTTTATTAGATTACGTGGGCAGTTTCAATTAATTGTGAGCATGCGAGTATCTGTCGGCGTTTTCATTGGTAATGGCCAGTTATCGGTGTCGCTAAGTAGATTGAATGAGATGTATAATACTGGTTTGCTACGGTTGGCGCTGGATTTATAGGAAAATTGTCGATCCGGGTGGTTCCCTTGCTTTCGTATTCAATTTAATGTTTATTAATATTGCTTGTTTGGTTTATTGCTTTAGTGATTTTAAGCTTATCGTATGCAGCAGAATTGATAGTTATTTAGAATTCATTTTGTAAATTTGTGTGTGTGTGTAATTGTGGCCTGTACAAGTGATCTCTGCTGCAGTGGCGGCTGGTATTGATTAAGGATGGGATTAATCTAAAGAATATTTAAAGTTTCACAAAGAAAAAAAAAACAAGCAATTTGTGACGTAATTTATTTAGAAATATTCATAAAGTTTTTCTTTATTGCGTTTTGTAAAGAAGGTGTCGGTCGTGCGATCGGTAGCGGGGCGCAGCGCGGTAATGCGACGATAGTCATATTTCACGTGGTATCGCACCGGAATCGCAGCCGACTCCTGATTTACAAGATATCGCTTGCACGGGGGAATGATGTTACACTTGTTACTGTTTGTATAAAGAGACGCGAATTATAAATTGTAAAATATCCGATGTTATAACGAAGTAAGTTTCAGCTGCTCTTCGTAATTTGAAACATACTGGAATAAGTAAACCTTACCCGTGTTTTTTCTATACAAAATTGATTGAATTGGGTTTCCACTACCACCCTGCCTATTTCTGCTGCGAAGCAGTGGGTGGGGCAGCCTTTGCACTCTTATGAGACTTAGAACTGATATCTTAAGGTTGCTAGCGGCATGTACGTTGTTGATGACTATGGTCTCCCGTAATCACTTAATACCAGTGAGATGATGCGTGTGATCAGCTTCTCACCAAAGAAATAATAATAATTGTTCAACTCTCAACAATAAATCCCAACACTAGTGACGAAAGGTGGAAAATCGAGGACGTTATTCTTAAACTGAACATTAGTAATTTTTTATTGAATTGGGTCTAAAACGTTGGAAGTCGAGACCTCAAGAAGGAGGCAAATAAAAACAAAACAGGAATCCGTATAATTCGTACAAGCACTAAAACTAGCCCGCATATCAACTTTTGGTCTAGAACAGTGATTCCCAAAGTGGTCTATATCGACCCCTAGGGGTCTATGACAACCTGCAAGCGGCCTACGTCAGCGAAAAAAAATTTGGGGGTCCACGATAGTGGATCTCAACACATACACTGATAGTACCTATTTACTTACATCATACTATCTTATAATATCAAGACATCATTAGCCGAGGAGATTTAAGATTAACCCTTACAAAATTCACGCCAAATTTTGATAATTTATTATTAAAGCATGTGGTTCATCCTTCTCACTAAAAATATTGACTTATTGCTTATGTTATTTTATTTATAGTTTATTTTATGTTTATTTTATGTTACGTATATTTTACATAACAGATACAAAATTTTATTTTGAGTAGTTTTAATTTAAATTCAATTAATAAATGTATAAATTAATATGTATTTTTACTTTAAGTTTTTAACACTAAATTTTACTACAGTTAGAAATTTACAGGAAATCAATATCAGGTAAGTAGGGGGTCTACCCAACACGGAAAACATGGCAAGGGGTCTACGACCCAAAAAAGTTTGGGGAACTCTGGTCTAGAACAATAATAAAAATGGTACATGAAATAATAAAAATTCAGCGCTAAAAACTGTGTACACACTTTGTCATCATAATTAATTCTTGACAACTGAATTTTTGACATGTGTCGCGGAAAACGTCACGTAACTGATCACACCAGTTGATTGATTAATGAAGATGACTTGTCATATAATAAAATTGATTCGTATTAAATACGTATGAAATTTTAATATGGTTTTGTTTTTATTCTTGTTGTATTGTATTATCAGACGATATATTAGCGTGTTGGTGTAGTTCAACATCATCCCAATTGCTTTTTTATCTTCTGAAATCGGTAAGATAATACAGACAACAAAATATGAACATGTTAGGCTCGAGTCTACGTCGAGACTCCGAACTCTCACCCTATTAGTTTAATAAAGAAGTAAATATTTGTTTCGGATGCGATAAAGGTTTTAATTTTATTTTAATATGACTAAATGACAACAGACGGCGCGGAATCTCCAAATCCGTCTTTTTATATAAGTAATTGACATTAAAATGGCACCTTATGTCCGAAGTTCAGTTTAATAATTATAATCATATATTGCTTTATTCGGGTTCCGCAAGTCTGAGGCACAATTAAAACTATTTTTACAGTTTACAGTTCTCGCGTTTTTGTTATTATCAGTATACTAGACTGTCCTCGTCCGTAATGTCGTTCTTGACCAGGAAAACTGTAACTATTCGAAGCGTCGAACATAATATAAAGGCAATAAAAAACGCGAAATTAAACCGTAAAAATAGTTTTGATTATATAATATAATGTTTACTGTATGTACTAGGTTTGTGTTCCTAATTCTTCCTTCTCCTTTTGCGGGCCTACTGGAAGAGATTTCAACATGAAATAAGTAGTGCCCTTGTACTCTGTATCCTTAATGTCGTGTTTCTTCTAACAGCTGTGTGTACAAAATATATTAAATTAAAAATAAATAAATAAATGAAACAATTATGAAATATCATAAGTGACTAGGGAAGTTCCATGATTGAATGTTTTTCATCCTCAGCACTGTTGACGTATTCGCGGCGCGGCAACATTGAATGTGTTATGTCAATTGGTAATTTTTATTACCTTCGAAAGCACTGCGCTTGCTCTACGATTATTGCACGTGATGGTCACCGACACTCATGAAAATAGGCAAAACGCAGGGGTCACTATTTAAATCTCCTTTTAAATCTGGGTATACCATAGCCTTCGGGAAACTCCTTGGACGACGATAATTCCAGGGTCAGATTGTTTTCACAATGTCAAAATAATATACAGTAAAAGGTCTTTACACGCTGATTATATGTTCCGTAAATATGCCGCGAATGCAGAAACCATATTCGGTTGGATACCTACATATTGGAATATTTTTATCATTCGCGATCCGCGAATAAAGAAATATTTAGCCGCGAATATAGGAATTGGTTCGCATTTCTTTAATCCGCGAATAGTGAAAACGCGAATGAAGGAAGCGCGAATAAGGAGCTTTTACTCAGTTTTGGATTTTACGTGATCTAATCACTTGTTTTGGTCATTAATAATAATTATAACCACCGATTTAACGAGAATCATATATCTTCGCAAATAATTTTGAATTCCATACGGATGCTATAAATAGATTATGGATGAAATTCAGTGAACGCTATCTTTCACATATTTTGCAGTGAATGAAATATGAATGCCAACGGTACGCAATTTATCTATAAAATTATTGAGCTGACATTACGAAGAAATGAGTTTTCTCCAAGTTTGAAAGTTAGTTGATATGTAACCAGAATAATATATCGTTGCTTTTCAAGCAGTTCTCTTACTTACAACTAAGTTTATTGAAGACAAAGTTGCAACTTCGAAACGTCTTGCACTTGTGATAAATGTTATTTTGAGAATATGTTTGTTCATCCTTATTGGATATGATAACGCTATTTAGTCATTGGCTCTAATATATTGTGCACTATGTTTTGTAAATATTGTGTTGTTTTCTACGTTAGTTGCAATTCGCTGTGCGGGCGTTTCGTATTTTTTCTTTTTATTTCTAAAGCTTGTCCGAAATAACGTTAAATTTTATATCATGTTAATGAACATATTAATTTACCTAAAACATTATTGATAGACATTATTTAAATTTCACTTTATAAAAATACCAAAATGAAAAGAATGCGGTTCGACTGCGACAATTAATATTTTTAAATACCTAATCAGTCATCTAATCATCGCATCGACGCCTACGCGCGGCGTCGCCACGCTATGTGGTAATACCTGGCGAGCTCTCATACACGTACTTAAGTAGCTTTGTCGATGATTACGGCTGTTTTGAGGGCTTTGTGTATCGCTATTTAGGATCGTTTTCGTCGTAACGTTTTAATGAATTGCGTTTTAAATTTTACGTTCACTTTAGTCTTTTTAATGGATACAATTATTTTGATGCCTTTCATGTTTTGTTTAGGTGAATAACAGCGCAAAGTTTTGTTGAATATTGTATTATAATAGTATTTACTCTTATTAGAAGAGATAACGTCTGTCACTTATTCTTTTTTGTTTGTCGAATACTTAGCGCGTAACACATGCGTCACAGGTAGAAATATAGTGATGGACTGTTGAACCTATGACTGTGTGTGGTAAATCCTAAAAGCTGATTACGATGTAAGACTCAGGCGTAGGCGAATTGTCGCGTATCGATAAAGAAACACAATGAATCGATTGTTGACAATCGATAGATACGCAATGTGCTATATTGGTTTACTCGTGTGATTTAGTAAACGAATGCAACATTCTACATACGAATGCGAATGACTTGACAGGTTTCGGTGCTTTTGGGTTTTCCTAAATCGATTCATCGAGTTCCATAGTATTATTTAATAATATCACTTGCTAGCATAACTCCATTTCTTTCACGAAGTTTGTTAATAGCGATTGACATATTTACATTACATTTAACGTTATCGTGACGAACACTAATTAAATTGAATACTTATACAATAATGTTTGAAATAGTTTGCGAGTGGATCTATTGACGTCAATTTTTTTTTTAACTACACACAAACACTTTAATTTGTCAGCAAATTAAATAATTTGACTAAGATACATCTGTCTACAGAAATGTTTTAGCGCTTGTATTTTTGCGTATTTCCCAATATTTGAGAACTGTTTCGGCTTAGCTAATTATCTTCTGTTAGTATTGCCTTTTCTTACTTATTAATTTTTCATTTATTGTACTGGTATCGTGTGACACTAACAACTAACAAACGGAACTAGATCATGACATGTAAAATGCTTCTTTTGAAGTCAAAATATTCAGTAACTGTTTTGATTCTTATTTCTGGGCGAACGAGCCCCCTGTATCAATCGCTTGACGGAGCCCAAAAAGATATCACGGACTTAATTGTACAAAATAGTACTATCCGCCTTGAGATAATAATATGATTATCAATTATCACAGTCTAAGGTTTTCCTGCCCATCAATCGGCAACTTCACGACTGTTTAGGGACAGAAGTACGCATGAAATGACGGTTGAAAGACCCCTCCAACTCACACTAACGCTAGCTAAAAACTTGAATGCAGTAATAATTACCGATTTCATTTTCTACTACGTAACGGTGACACTTGGATTGTTTATGCTAAATAATAAACGACGCCCTCTTTTGATACCTTTTGTCTGGTATATTTGAACCTGTCTGGTTACCAGTGTTTATTTTCTAGCGAGTTTATTACATTGTGAACGCAATGCACGCTTTCTATGCTAATTAACCGATAGACGTCTTCGGTTTAGTGATGGGCTGTATCTCATTTGAAAGTTTGTTATTATTAAAAAGTCTTCTACGTTATGAAATAATTTTAATTGAGAATAAATAAAAACTAATTTATCAGTCTATTATGTTTTTATATTGAGAGCCAGCTTAGAAAAATGATGTTTGAATGATGTCCACATCGTATAATTTAAATATGGTATTTTATCGAATTTGTTACATCTCTAACAATGATCTTTAGCGAAAGAGTGTCGTCGTGTTGTGACTTATTTGCATGTGAATAGGGAACCGTGTAATAACTACTTGATTGACATTTCAAGTGTCACCACTTACTAGTAGGAAGGAAACCTGCCGCATTGTCATTGTTCGTATACCTGTAAACGTCGCTATCAGCTCCACAAGACCTCTAAAAGTTGTTTCGTAATTTAAATTATAAAACATAAAGCCTTTGAAACGAATAAATCAAAATGTTGAGACAGCCGTGTAAGTTCTTCTGCAATTATCATTTGTTTGTTTCTTTAATTGAATACGGGGCTCGGTTAATTAAGTTGCTTGGCGATAGGAACGCTTGATGGATTGTCGTAAATGGAATTGTTTTTCTACATGTTGACATGGGACTGTTCGGATTTGCATGTATAATGGCTCAGATGCATTTACCCCTCGTCGCTGTATTGGATTCTTTTTGTGAATCGTTTTTTGATTCGTGCTAATTTTTAACGTGTATGCGTCTCGTTGGCTTCTTGAATAGATTAATAGTAATGCTTAAGAGCTGCGCTTAATAATGTTAGCGAGAGCGTTTTATGTTTTTTTTTAAGTTAAAGTAAATAAGATTAAAGGAATGAACAGACCATAAATTGACTGACTTCTTTTGCGTACATTAAAATGTTTGGAATAACTTGTGTAAAACATATTTTAGTCTTTATGTATTTTTTTTTTATTGCTTAGATGGTTGGACGCGCTCACAACCCACCTGATGTTAAGTGATTAATGAAGCCCATAGATATCTAGAACGTAAATGCGCCACCCACCTGGAGATATAAGTTGTAAAGTCTCAAGTATAGTTACAGCGGCTGCCCTACCCTTCAAACTGAAACGCATTACTGCTTCACGGCAGAAATAGGCAGGGCGGTGGTACCTACCCGCGCGGACTCACAAGAGGACCTACCACCAGTATTAAAACGACGATTTATATATATCGACTCGAGACAAATATGTTATGAGCCATTTGGTTCATGAATGACTACATTTTAATTTAAGCTAACCGTGGAGAACGTAGTCTCATTTTTAAAATGTTTGTCACAAAATGATAATTTCTCTTAAACTGCACGACGTTGTAAAGGAACATCTTCGCCTTCACTTCAAAGGTCTTCCTGAGGAAGTGTCAAACCGCGACCATGACTTCCTATATTTTTCCCCTCAAACCTTCACCTTTTGGAGTGTAGGGGAGAACAGGGGTGGTGCGACGACAGTCAATGACCCCGATGTTTGTTACGCTATTTTCACGACACAAACAAAAAGGCGATCGTTTTAATGTCCTTAGTTTGAGTTTTTAAGTTTTCGTTTTGTTTTTAACTTTTTTAAGAAAGTGATTATTTAATAGATTTGTACAAAAATATTCTTCATTAAACAACACGTTTTGATTGGACATTCAAGTATTGCCAAGCATTATTTGTTTTTTATTGCCCGTGTAGACAGACGAAGCATACGACCCACCTGATGGTGAGTGGTTACCGTCGCTCATGGACGTCACCAATGCCAGGGGTAAAGCCAAGCCGCTGCCTACTACTTAATACTCTCCACAAGCCTCGTTTGAAGAAGGACATGTCATAGCGCTCGGGAAGCACCTTAGAGGGGAGCTCATTCCAAAGCCGGATGGTACGTGACAAAAAAGATCTCTGGAAGCGCACTGTGGATGAACGCAGTGGTTCTAGGTAGTATGGATGAACTCTACTCCGGTGGCGGACAGTGAACACTCACCATCAGATGGGCCATATGCTCGTCTACAAATAAGGGCAATAAAAAAAAAAAAAAACAAGACGACAGAACGACACGCTACCTTCGTTACCTGTTTAAAAAGTACATTTTTAAATATTAATATCTTTTTTCCAGTAACCTGTATGGGTATATACTATATATTGTTTTGTATATGTATTGTTTCAATTGACAATTTAAACCCCAATTTTCATACTAAGTCGTTGTTTACAGATATCCTGTTAGGGGTGCACTGCACGCACGGATTAAACCGCACGGGTTACATGGTGTGCCGGTATATGAGAGATCGCCTCGGAATGTCCGGAAAGGAGGCTATTAAAAGTATGTCCCTAATTTTAATGTAAAACATAATTTCGTATCATAAAATATTTCAAGTTACGAGATTTGGAGTTTTAAATCCGGTTGTGATGGCCAAATTTAAACATTCCAAATAAATAAATAGAAAAAAAAACTTTAAAAAATTTATGATTAATCGTTTTTATTGATTATTTAATATATTAAGTTTGTATTAAAATTGTATTAACATAATATTACTTTATGTTGACTTGTATTATTATGCAAGAAACTAAATATGGAACTAATTGTAAACACACAGTTTTGAGCGATTAAAATGAGATGCAGTAGTAATTAGCGGCAGTTTCAGCGCTTTATTTACAAATGTCGAGTCCATAATACATCAATGCGAATGCGCAAACTGTATTGCCGTTCTAAAAATATGTAACAAAAAATGTAATATCCGGGATCCAAGCAAATCAATAATTTCTTTATTTTAATAATCTGTCGTAAATTATGAATTCAGAAATGCTGAGTTTTTTATTGGGTTTTGTTATAGAATTCGAAAGAGCACGTGGCTATGCCATTGAAAGGATAGTTTACACATCCGATTTATTGAAGCAAAATCCCGCTATTGACAAAGAGCGGACTAACAGCAAATCGGCTACAAAGAGACGTCACGACTTTGAATACAGATCACCTTTAGCTGAAGAGTACGAAACTGAAACAACTAGAAGAAGGTATACTAAATAATTATATTGCAAATTTATTTTATGTCTGATAAATGGCTGGATGTAGATTGCATTTCGTGTTTTGATATACCCGTATTATTGATAAGGCTTAAAGAATTCTAGATGATATTCAGCAATTACTTGAATATGAAACAAGGAAACTGTTAAATTGTACAAAAAATATATTGGTCATCTATATCCTTCTTAATTCTATGAATCAAAGGATTCACCAATGCTATCTATGCATTTGTTAGCGCTGTGGCAAGTTATGGATACTTTCCTTGAAGAAGTCAACTGGTTTTCAAAATGCTGTTGTAATTGTTTATTTATTTCAATTTTTTTAAAGAGGTTTTGAAAATTAAAAAAAAATTATAGTCTGTAGGTGTAAAGGGTCTGGCGCAGATTTACGAAAAGCTCCGAATAACATGTTTTTTACATTAGAGTCAGAATCGTCTCTTGCTCAACAACCCGTTTCGGAAACAGAATTCAAGGCGGGGTTTTATTTTTATATTAAAATTAACCAAATATAAATTACAAAACTAACCATTTATCAGTACCATAGAATGGCATGTTCATAGTTTTCAAAAATCTATATTAGTCTATCTTTGTTTGCTACAGATGTATATATTATTATGTTAAAAATATGGTATAACCTATACCTTTTTTTAAGATTTCTACAATTATATTTTTTCTCTTACAGGTATCGTTAATCCTGCATAATATTAGAAATGAATTTTGACATAGATAATTTGAATTTGACTATCTGTAAATATTGGATATTATTTATTGTGAGTACAACCAATGAAAAATGCAAGTCTACTTTGTACAAAATTCAATGTACTAATATACGTCTTATGTACGAACTTAAAGCATAATCACTGACGCTTCAATATTTTGGTTCATTTAAGTATTACATTTTCACTTCTCTGTTTGTTTTTTTTAAAATATAAAACTGTGTATCTAAATTTTTAATTTTATTATAATATTCAAAATTATTTATTAATAACAAAAAGCTTATCAATAACTATTAAACTAAAGCAAAAAGAGAAAAAGTATTTACGTATACATTAGAATTGAAATAGAAATTTTCATATACATTTTTTTCAAATATACAAATTGAAACAATGTTGTTTTTTATTTCTTAGTTAAGCGCAAATTCATTCATAAAAATATGAAGGCGATGATTAAGGCGAAGGATAGGGATAAAATGGCTTTAATTAGCCGAAAAATTAAGAAGCTTCGAAAATTCTTAAATTTTCGTTCGCGTTTCCAAGCTAAAATTTTATCCTAAGCCTGGTGCCGGAAACATACACATAGTACAAACATAACTGTAGATATACCGAGAAACTTAATGTCAAATGGTTTTGATTAACATAATGTTGTCTTAATTTTAATTCAAATATTACAAGAATTCTACGAAGAATTTCATGTTTAAATAATAGCAAAATGAAATAGTTTTTATAGTAGTAGTAGTAGGGTCAATGTGTAATAATATTATTTTTTGCGTACCGTGGCGAAAGACCAATAATAGACCACACAAGAAGAATAGACAATTGCATGCTTGACGATCGGCATGGCATTGCAATAGGTGAGGAGATTGCAAGCAGAAGAGATGTGATTGTTGCGATGGATGTATGAAGTAATGAGAATGGATAGAATACGAATATAATAATAATGTTAGAGGAAGTCTGAAAGTAGCACCTGTGATAGAGAAGTTGAGAAGTGTGCGTTTGGGATGATATGGACATGTGATGAGACGAATTGAAAATGAGGTTGGTAAGAGAGTGTTAACTATGAATGTGGAAGGATATAGAGAAAGAGCTAGACCTAAGGAGAAATGGATGCGTGAAAGACGATATTGGTAAGAGGAGAGTGAACGAAGAAATGGTATATGCTAGAGGAGTATGGAAGGAGAAAATATGTTGCGCCGACTCCAGGTGACTGGCAGAAGGACAGGAGAATGATAATGATGAAGAAGAATAGACAATAGTACATGAATGCCCAACTCACCGTGCTTTAAAGCCTTCAAACGGAACATTACTGTTTTATGGCAGAAAAAACAGAGTGGCGGCACCTACAAATGCAAGTTCACAAGACGCTCTTCCACCAGTAAATCCACTCTGTCGTAATTTGGGGTGCAAAAGTGTAACAGTCATTGATTTCCAAAACAACATAGCAATCCATGATTTGATGCTGCAAACAAATATAATAGATAAAATCATGGTGTCCAGACCTCGTCAAAACCAAACATCACTAGCATAGGGGAGAAACGCGAGGAGAGTATTTGATGATGATGATATTTGTGATAGTCCGGGACTTGTAGAATTTTTATTAAATTTAAAATGTAAGGAAACTGTACAAAAAATATTTACCTCCATAGTAAAATCACTTAACAAAAGTACCTACTATCAGTTAACAAAGTTAACAAAGTTAAAAGAGCCTTTAAATAATTTTACATACTAAATGTTCAGGAAATGTGAAGATTCCAAATTTAAATTGGGATTAAAATTAAGTTATAATTTTGCAGAAATTACAAACCCACGTGAAATATTAATCTACAAAGGCTACATGAAGTTTTGAGTGCAGAAGTCTTAAATTTTTGAAATATTGTTATAGTTTTTAACAACGCTCTTCACTTTCAAAGTTTTCCAGTATGTTATTGACTTTGATTCGTAGGATAACTCACAGACACTGGTCTTTAAGCGGTTACCGCCCACGTCGAGCAATGAGTTTGCAATATCATTTGTGTCAAAACAATCAAATGCAACCCTTCAAACCAGTATTGTCGGAAACCGTAACATTTACTGTTAGGTTGATGCTATTTAAGAAATTACGTTATCAGTCCAATAAAATACCGAGAACAATGGAGTCATCATGAGAAAAAGACTTGTTATAGTGAAATTTGGTGAGATCACGTATAAATACGTGAGAGATTGCATCGTGATGTAGATTGAGTGCCAGCAAACCATTGAAGCGCCCCGGCGCAATGTTTTGTCCACCGCTGTATTTTTAATATGTTAAACTATAAATAAATTATAAAAAAAACTTTAAAAATTTTAGTAAAATTGTTGTAAATTTTATAAAAAAAATTAATTTTATCAAAACTAGATCTCTATACCAAAATCCTTCTTCTGCAGTGTTGGTCGATCTTTCAGGATGTTTTAGATACGCCTATTATTTGTAAATTGTCCTGAACATTCCAGAAATAACACATCATGGAGCGTTAAAAAAATAATTGTTATGACCGCATTTCGTAAGATAAAACTACGCGGTCTTGCTGAATCTGGACAATGCCGCTTCCACTTTATTTATGTACTAGCTGACCCGGCAGACTTCATAGTGCCTCAATCGATCAATAAAAAACTAAAGTAAAAAAATAAACTTAAAACAAACAAAAGGAATCCGTCCGACGGGGGAACATCAAAGGAAAAACAAAATTATTATTTTTATTTAATTCCGAATATTTTCATATTTATCTACCTTTTAAACCTTCTCTGGACTTCCACAAATAATTCAAGACCAAAATTAGCCAAATCGGTCCAGCCGATCTCGAGTTTTGGCGAGACTAACGAACAGCAATTCATTTTTATATATATAAGAAGAATAAGAAGATAGAAGAAGAAGAAGAAGATAAAAGGACTTACGTTTGAAATTTAAGCAATATCGGCGGACTACTTTTTTGAGTTCTGTCTTTTAATGGATTTTTAAATTATCTACTTTCGCTGAGTTTATGTTTTTTTAGCTATTCTTTAATACAATTATCATATAGATTTTTTACGTAATTTAAATTTGAATTTGAAAAATACATATAATTTTTTTTTTCGGACAAATATCGTTTTATCCATTTTCGTTGCAGCATCGAGCTGTCCATACTTCCTTAATTTCAACCTAACTTTCTTCTGTTTGTTGGTTGTGTGCTTTGATATATTTCCGTGTAGCTTCAGTAGGTTGGATGTTGTCTTTGATTTATATGTAGTCGATATGTTTGTAGCTTTCTCGTCGGGTGCATTCGCTTTTATTGCTCTATTGTTTGCCTCCGGGGTGTAGATTACGACTGTACAATGTAATTTGCTTGTAACAGGGCTGCTTGTTTTAGATTATGGTACAAAATTATTTTTAGGCACGCATCTGAGGCACTTACCGTCAAAATTTGATGCTAATACGCATGCTTAATTATTGCACACCTTTTATTTTATGCTTTATTCAAATAGGTAATGTGATCAATGTTGGAATTTAAGCCCAAAACGTCCACTACAATACCCATTCTTATCTTGTGAACTCAAAGAACGTAAATTAGCGTCGCTTTGTTAGCTTCTAATAAAATTTAACAACTTAACCGGCGTTATCTCATATTTTTGTTTCGAATCTTAACTACCTGGCTTCCGTCAGGACGTATTTCTCGAAGTCCTTCTACTTGACTGACACGGACGACTGTTTAATTTATGTCCACTACTTTGAGGTGTTTCATTTTAATGTGCTCGTTCATTCCGGTGACAGTTGGTGACGCTTTGGGCGCCATTTCGATTGTTATCTATTCATCGGTGTTTTCAAAGTGTCTGTAGGTCAATTATATTGTTGGGATACTACGATGACTTTAAATCGTGATTCGATTTTTATTACTTAAGTGTCAAAAATCCACGAATACACATTGTGGAATTTCCCTCTGAATACAGTTAGAATCTTATCTTTGCTTGGTAGATAATTAAATTCATACTTCACGAAGTTATCAATAAGCAGGTTCAATAGCTTTCATAATTAAAGAACTCAGAACAAAACACAGGGGCATTACTCTCGCGATCCTATTATCGGATCGATAATTCAATCTGGAGTGATATTGTCTGCTCGCCTCGAGGCCACAACGAGACGCCGCCGCTTCTGTCTACCACAGAATACTAAAATGTTATAGAAGGCTTCTATATCAGTTTAGACACAGGAGGAAACTTTACCTAAATAAAGAGCAAAGGTTAATTTGTCTACATTTAAAATTAGATTTTATTCATCTTATTTATAATAAAGATGTGTGGTGTCGTGGGACACCGGATAGGAACGAAGTTCCTTATTATAAAAATATTAATTTTAAGTTCTATTCGAGGTATAAAGAAAATAAAACTGGAGGTTTTGCAACAACCCACGGCCATTCGGTAACGTGCGAACTTATTGTGGTACATTTCATTCACGGTTGTTTGCATAAGAGTTAGTGTATTGCGCAAACGAACGCTCTGAGATCGTGGTCAATTAATGATAAAAAAAAATTATTTTTTGTACGTTATTACAAAGTTAAGTCGTACACTGTGTGCATTACTAATAAAAATCTTACGTTACGGGCGTTTTTCCCGGTTAGGGTACCCGCATCGTCCCATAAGGAACTTCGTTCCAAAAACATTGTTTGATTGTTCGTATTTATAGCTACTATACCATTTTTTTGGCGGTTCACCATGTCAACTCAATAAACTTGTTTTGTTATGATTGTGGAAGGCGAAAAACTAATCGCATTTAGCCGCCTAAACTCAGTAAAATTCAATTCTGCAACACGACTAAAATAGCTCATGATGACTTTAATCAAATAATAAAATCAATGAAATAAAAAAAATACAAGGAGATTATTTCTTAAAATACATTAATACTGTTAAATCAACTCTATACAACACAATATTGTGAAATATTTCTGTGGGTGTAAGTCTAATCTATGACGCATGAAGGGATAAATAAATTCGTTGGTATAATATCGGAGAGCTTCGATTAAAACACAATAAAAGGCCCGCCGGTCGACCGAGATGTGAACGTTTGTGACA